AGAGACTTCCAGGTAGAGCCAAGAGCCTGTGTAATGGCCCTGAATCAGGGCAAATCACTGCATGGGGTTGGATTTGGGCACCTTCAACAGCTAAATCAACTGCAAAAGCCTCTACTTTCAGTATTATTGCTTATCCTTCCTAAGAGTATCAGACCTTCAAAAAATCTTATAATGAAGTATATTTACATGCAAAAAGGTACCCAAATGACAATGTATAATTTAATGAATTCTCACCAAATGAATACATCCATACAACAATCACCCATGTCAAGAAACAAAATGTTACCAGACCTCCAAAATTCCCTGCTGTGTTTCTACCCAACCTTCCCCAAGCCCACCCCGCAGTGGTTACCTCCAACAGCCTGTCTGCCTACACTTTAACTCCACATAAATGGAGTCATATCACATGTGCTTTTGAGTTTGGATTTGTTACTTTATGAGCTATATCCCCATTGTTCATGTACTTGAAAATTGATTTCTACTGCTGCACTGTATTCCATCGGTTCTTTCCCAGTTCATTATCCTCTGCTGATGAGCATTGAATTGTTTCTCTGTTGGGGCCATTGTAAGCAAACTCTCATACTTGTCTCTGGATGTGGTGAATTAACTAAGGTTCAGCTTGGAACTCCCAGCTGAACTGAGTCAGCATGGTTTGGGGAGTGGAAGAACTGCCTGAGGATTGCTGCCAACAACATAAAAGGAGAACTGGAGGGGAAGACGGTGCTGTTGGTTCTCCTGGAGAAGCTTGTCATGCTGGTTTTCCTGATATGAACTCAGTTGTTCTCATAGTTGGAGGAGGCTGGGTCCCCACTGTTGCTGAGGATGGCTGTGGGTCTCTTCAGGAAAGCTCTAGTCCTTACCTTGAGTATCGCTTCCTGGCTCCAGTGCAGATTCCTCAGCCTGCTGGCACAGATCCTTCACCTCACTTGCACAGACTTTCTAGTTTCCAGCACTGACCTTTGGGCCTTCCCAGTGCACAGCCTTGATAGAGACTTGCATGAGACATTGTTGTGGCCTCTAGGCCTCTAGATAGACTCGTAGAGGACATTGTCACTGGCTCTAGGTCTCAGCTAGACCTGTGCAAGACACTGCCATGGGATCCAGGTCCTCAGCTGGCTTCTTTGGGCCTCTAGCACATGGACAGACCTCCTACACTCTTCCGCATTTGACTTTCAGGGTAAATATCATAAAATAATCCTATAAATTTTTTTCCTATATTAAATCTATTCCCTTTCAAGCCTTGGCTACAACACTGGGGCTCAATGAGTGGCCTTCTGCTGGGTAGATGAGACAGGAGTAGAATTTCTGCACAGAGCAGGTGCTATGCTCAACTTCGGTAGATACAAATAAGAACATTTAAAAAGCAATGGTGGTGGTGTATGTAAGTAGGATATCATGTCTGCATCTTATACAGCAATTAACCACTAGGAAGAATGTATACAATGTGTTAATTATTGAAACTGTCCTACCAGTTTGGTTTGAAACTGTCTCATTGCTATTTGTTTCTCAATAAATTTATGGAAAAAAAAGTTGTTAGGATAGATATACAGTTACATTCTCTTAATGAAGAGTGATTTGTTCTAATGGTGTTTGTAAATAGGATATCATGTCCACATCTTGTACAGCAATTAACTACTAGGAAGAATGTATGCAATGTGTTAATTATTGAAACTCTCCTACCAATTTGATTTGAAACTATCTCATTGCTATTTGTTTATCAATAAAATTATGGAAAAAAAGCAATGGTGGGGCCATGGAGATAGCTCAGTGGTCTAAGTGCCTGTCTATGCAAGCATGAGGACCTGGATTCAATGCCCCATACAACATGCATGCTGGCCCTGCCCTAGGCACACTGAGTTGGCCAACAAGACTGGGCGTAGTGGTGCACACCTGTAATTCCAGTGCTGGGGAAGCTGAAACAGGAGGATCACTATGAGTCCAAGCTGTGTAACAAGAACCTGTACCAAATACATTTCAAAAAGCAATGGTAGGCCAGGGATATAGCTCAGTGGCACAGCACCTGCCTGGCAAGCACAAGGCCCTGAGTTTGATTCCCAGCACCAAAAAATAAAATGAAATAAAATAAAGCAATGGTGAGCCAGTCTACAGAAGTTCCCCTGAGGATGACACGGTGGCTCCAGGAGACAGAAAGGAGGTAGAGGGTGGTACCCACGCCACTGTGGCCCTTCTCTAAGAATCCAGCCCCAAAGCTGAGACATGTCCACAATGTTCCTAATTATCTCTAGGAGAAAAACAGATGCACAGGAAAGCAAATTGCTTCTCTTAGAGGCATTTTCCCACCAAAATTATGTTGCAAGTTCCATTAAAAGGAATTGGTTTAGAAATTCTGAACATATTAAAAGGGTGCAGAATCTCCTCAAGTTTGTTTAAACTTTAGGTCATTAAAAGCATTGCTCCACTCCATCCCCTGTCCACCTTCCAGCCTAGCAGGTTACTGGTCTCGCCAGCTGGCCTCCCCGCCTCGGCTCTCTGCGGCAGCTCCTTCTCACTCACTCAGGTCGCGAGGCGGTCTTCTCCATCTCTCCTGATCCTAGTCAGTGTCATACGATCCAGTCTATTCTCTTTATTGTGTCTATAACTTTCTGAAATCATTACTGTCATTTTTTTTCTTTTGCTAACTTGTTGAACCTGTGCCCCATTGGCTCCTAGAATCCTGGCACATACTTAGTTTTCAAGAAATCACTCTGGGATGAATAAATGAAAGAATGAATGGAGTAAATGAATCATTAGGTGAGCCAGCTTCCGGGAAAGGGCTCGTGGGCCATTTTCTCTGGGTTCCATTTGCTCCTCTAGATCTCAGGGGGCTGAAGTGCTGTGAACTTCTCCACGGCTTTCTCCTGAGTGGCTACAGCTGGAGTGCTGCCTTTGCAGGGCCCAGGCCTCCCCTGGCCCTCGGCCCTGAGCCAGAGGACACTGTGACTGATGGCTGAGGTGTGAATGCTCTGCCAATGATTGACTGGGGCCCCGGGCTGCACATTTCCAGGAACTGCTGTGAATGCTTCATTAACAAAGGCCCCAGAGGCGATTGTCACGTTTCCCTCCCTAGGGGATCAGGGTAAGAACAAGTCTTTTCACCATTGATCTTTGGAGGTCAGACAAGAATGTGGCTTTGACCAGCAAGGATTAAATCCCACTCGCCACAAACAGAGGTTCATGGGTACAAGTTGCATGGCAGCTGATGTGCACAGTTCTGTCGTGTCCTCTTTGAGCACAGAGAAGGAAGGACTGGAATCTTTTATTGTCTAGAAAACAAGAAATTGGAAGTCCAGGTCTTCACAGCTTGTACTAACTAGTTACTGCAGCTTGTGTTTGTCCTAAAACCCAGGTATCTTGTGTCCCAGCCTTGGCTCTTTCCTTGGTTCGGAGTAATGCTGACAAAGAGGATGCTAAGAAAGCCCAGTGGAGCGTGAACCAGTCCCTTGCCAGCTCCTGCCTGTGGTGAGACCTCACAATTCCATCCTCTTCAAACTCAGAAAATTATCAGAGCCTATTCCACTAAGCACTGGACTAGAGTCAACAAGCTAACAGGTTATTAATAATAAACACATCTGCCATTTATTTAAGAGTACAAAGCAATGTAGAGGAGCGCTTGACAATCTACAGCCAGTTTGATGACGCCGTGTTTGATTTTATGAATAAAACTTCAATGCAACCCAGTTGTGTTCAATCACTAATAGATGGTTGCTTATGTACTGTATAGCAGAACATGTAGTTGTCACACAGATTTTGTTACTGTTCTAAAAGACTTGCTGCCTGGTTCTTTGCAGAAAACTTTTGCTGACCCGTCTGCCTACTAGCTGGCGTGCTTTCAGGAAGTTATTCTCCCTTTCTGTACCTCTGTTTCTCCACCTGTAGAAGCACCTCCTACGCCGGACTGTTGTGAAGCAGGAGAAGGCCCCAGAGCACAGTGCGTGCTGCGGAGACGTGGCCTGCCCTGTGTCTTGCGAGCATTGTGTCATCATCCCAGCAGTCCTAGGAGGCAGATGCTTTCACCACCCTCATTGCACAGATAAGAAAACTGAGGTGTGACAGGCAGAAGTGATAGTCCCTCAGGCAGGGAGCAAGGATACGGATTCAGAGGGGTGTGCTGCCGACTCTTGAAGCCTCTTCACCGGACCTGAGGATGCAAGTGAGGGGGCCCCTTCCTCAGTGCTGCTCTCAACAGACAGTGGGACAGATGCCATCCAGAGAAGTGACAGGGAACTGTAGGCGTTCAGCAGCACAGAGCGGGTCAGGCTTCCTGAGCTGGGGGTGGTTGGGGAGGTGATAGTGAAGCCTCCTGCACAGCAAGGGAAGTCCCAGAGTTAGGTTTGGGGGTCTCAAGAAGCCTTAAGGACCTTCTCTGCAATCTCACTCACAGTCTGAAAGTTGCCATCCAAGGAGCTGGGCCTCATGGTTCCCTCAGGAGGAAAGGCGTGTCAGTACCAGAGCCACAGATACAGTTGTAGACAAGGTAAACAGAGTTTCTGCTTTGCTCACAACCCTCCCCAAAACCACACATCACATGGGGCTCTGGCTTGGGGTCAGTGGGTCGTCACTATTGAAAATCATTATGCAGCATCCTGCAGTAAGACAAGCAACAGGGATTTCCCTCCTCTTTATTACCCCATCTCTTCTTAAAGCCCTACACACACACACCCCACATTCTTGCTGCGCGCATGTTATGCAACTATCCCTTCTGCAGCATCTTCCTGAATGAACTTGTCTTGTGTTCCTCATGTCCCACACCCTTAAGCCTACTGGGAGAACTGCATGGCACCCTGAAGGCCAGGGCAGGCTGCCTATGGTGGCACCCCTTCCTTAGCTTCTTGTAACAGCAATCAAGCCAATTGGACACTTACTATATGTCAGCCCTGGGAGCATTTTGCTAGCATACGAGGAGGTTGTGAGGCTTTTTTGTATTTATCAGTTTTGCTACCCACCCATGCATGGTCTGACCACCCACTGCATCTATCTGTAACTTTTTACAAATTAAGATATGCCATGTAAATACATAAAATTCTCCAAATAGCTCCTATATCAAGATAGGGCTGGACACATGAAGGACTGGTAATACATGGGTGCTGAATGCGGGGAAGCAATGGTGATGTAAGTGAGAGTTTGGAGGACACGCTACTCCAAGCCTCCTTTTCTGCTCTCTCTGTTTTGGCTGCCTAGTGGCCTGGGGTCCCTCCCAGATCTTCTAAAGGACAAGGCTTTGATGAGGAGTGGAATTAGGAACTCAGTCTCTGGTATCTGGTAGCTTATAGGCCGTTCACCTTACCCTTTATCTTTTGGTGTTTCTTAGCTCATCAGCTGAGATGCAAGCTATGGAGGAGACAACGGTATAATCACCAAAGCCCATTTCCTTGGGGACACAGAGCTGCACATGCTCCTCAGCTTCCCTTGCCACTGAGTGGAGCCATGTAACATAATTCTGGTCAATTGATTGCAAAAAGAAGTAATGTCTATTTACTTCCAAGCCACGACCACCACCTCTACCTAAACTCCAGACTTCTGGCTCCAAATGCCAGCTAAACACAGAGGAATAAGCAAAGGCTCCAGACTAACAAGGAAGGTGGAGCCATGGCTTCAAGGAGCCCAGGTCCCCAAGAACCCATGTAGGTCAGAGCCTCTGGCTGCCAAGCAGGCTTTCTTTTTTTTTTTCCGGAACCGGGAATTGAACTCAAGCCCTTGCGCTTGCCAGGGAAACGCTTCTTCCACTGAGCGGTCTCCCCAGCCCCTATGCAGACTTTCTATAAGCATCAAGTGACGTGAAGTTGAGCACCATTACCTTTGCAGCTGATGGGCTCCGACCTGTTGCCCTCAAAAAATAGCTTCAACTCAGGAGCCTTCTTGATGTCAAACTCCTGCTTAAGCTCCTTCTCCACTGTGATGTCCACTTTGCCAAAGCCAATCCCGTTCTTGCCCTTGCCCATCATCCTCACAGCTTTGCCCAGCTCTTGCGCCAGGTTCCTGGATTGCTTGGAGGATGGGTTGTCTGAAAGAGTAAGCAGGAGGGAAGGCTAAGCCAGGCTTCCTCCCGCACCCATATCCAGCCCCGGAACTCCAGGCTTTACCTGTGCCTGCTGCTAAGGAGTAGGTTTCCGAAATACAAGAGGTCATGCTTTTCTCTCTTATAAAATAGACCATCGTAGTGGCTGTTGGGAGCTGCTGAAGCTGGAAATTGATCCTCTGCAGAGGGCAGGCTGAGGCCACAAGGCCTAAAGCCCTCCAGCTACCTCAGTCTTGAGAAAAACATCCTGCCTGGATGTGGGGGGCTGTGAGTCGCTAGCCAACCTTGTGTCTTGCAACTTTGTCAATGTATAAACAAACATACCTACTATTGTTTGGGCGCTCTTGCCTATCAGGCATGGTCCACCAGCTGGCCTCAGCTATTATCTCCCGTCTTTATTGTCCGACTCCTCTAGCCCTTTCTCTCCCGGACCACTGAGAGACCAACAGATCCTTACAAGTGGCTCCTTCATAGACTTGTCGAGATTCAGATGAGATTTATATCATGGTTAATAATGATTATTTTCTAGAGTTTTATGTGCATTAACTTATTTATTCTTTCAGATAAACCCGTAGGACAGGTATTATTATTACCTTCTTAAGTTTATAGGTGGAGAAAGTGAGGCACAGCAGTGAACTGCTTGCCCAAAGCCCTATGATGGTGAGGAGGCCTAGGTACGAACCCACTCAGGCTGGCTGCTGAGCTCTGGCTTTCTGACTCCCACCAGGCCTGTGAAACAGTTTAATACCTGGCGCACGGTCACTAAAGTTGTTACTGATGCAAAGTTTCTGTGGTCAGAAATTAGGGGAGGGGAGAAAGGACAGGTAGAGAAGTGTAGAAAGGATTTCCTGAGCGCCATCTGGTGGAATGTTCTGAAACTAGCCTGCTGAATAGGGTCGCTGCGGATGCCTGTAGCTACACCTAATATGCAGGGAGTTCCTTCAGGCAAAGAGGGCTTGAGTGGAGGGCGTGGGCGGGGCGTACTACCTTGCTCCCCTGACTTCCTGAGCCCACCCCTTTGCAGGAGGGGTCACTGAAGCGATCTTACACACTCCATAAGGGATCGGACATGGATTCTTTGGCCCCTCAGATTGTCAAGCAGTAAGACAGGTACAGAAAAACAGCTGTAAGAACAAATCTTTCAGGCCCGAATGGAGGGGACTAAATGACTCCTCTGCTTGCTTTTCTTCCTCCTGATAAGGCTGTATGACTGCAAACCCCTCAGCACTCCAGTGCCTGAGCAGGGCTGAGCAGAGACAGATTGCTAGATCATTTTCAAAGCCCTGTTACTATGGAACATTTGGAGAAAGTACAAATCACCTCTTGGCTGAGGGACAGTCCAATTCCTACAGAGAAATCTTTTGTGCAGAAGGGCTCCGAATGTTACAGACAAGGAAATGGAAGCCCAGAAGTCTTCCTGCCAGTAAGTGTTGATTTGAGATTCAAGGCCAAGGCCACCTGACTTGGAGAGCCATGCTCCAACTGACCAAGTAGCACCCACCAGCTGCCAGCCAGCACCCTGTGCTTGTACAGAACCCAAAACCTGAAAGTGAAGGATTGTTTTCATTAACCTTCCGATGGATGGGCAGGATGGGGAACTTCCCACCTCCCTCACACATCAGCGCCTCACTGCTGCCTGCTTCATCACCATCATCACCTTTATACTCCCATCCATCACCACTGGCAGGTGCTGGCCTGGCGCCAGCTGCTGGACTGTGGCCTCTCCTGTGGCTTTTTGGGAATTTGGGCTCGAGGTTGCTGTCTGACAGCACAGCTCAGGGCAAGAGCTTAGAGTGAGTGAACCCATGGCTGCCCAAAAAGTGGGGCATCGAGATTCCACTCAAAGTCTCATGCCCCTGGAGATCTGAAGAGGAGGTCAAAAAGACCAGGACAACTAGGATGCTGTCATCTGAGAGCTAAAAAGATGGGACCTGACAATGACAGCCATCGGGATCTCTTCATTTCATTTATTTGCTAGTTCGACAAGTCTTTTTGAACATGTATCATGTGCCAGGCACCGTTCTAGGCACTGAGGCAGTTACACTGAACAACTGCATAAAAATCCCTGCTGTCATTGGAAGAGGGAGAAAATAAACCAACTAAAGAAATGAGTTGCTGACAACTACTAGGGAGAAAAATATAAACAGAATTGGGAGCTGAGAATGTCCAGGAAAATTGTTGAGTTTAAGTAAAAAAAAAATTAAGGAAGGCCTCATGGAGAAGCAGACCGAACGAGACAAGGGAGCCAGCCTTGGGGATATCTGGAAGTAGAAGGGAGGAACAGGAAGGGCAAAGGCCCTGGAGTAGGGTTGCAAGGCCTTTGAGGAATGGCAACTCTGGTGAGGCTGGAGCGGAGCGAGGGGAGGAGTGGGGTGTCACGGAGTCTTGTAGATCACCGAAGAGACCTTGACCTTTCTTCTGTGGAATGTGAAATGTCACCAGGGTTTGGAGGAGAGTCAGGTGTGATTGATTTACTTTAAACTGGATTGATCTCAAAGCTGTATGAAAATTAGACCTGGGGGAAATTAAGGGCCACGGGGAGGCCAGTTGGCGACAACAATCCGCATGAACGATGATGGTGATCTAAGCCCGGGTAGCGGCATTGCAAGGGGAGGAGAGGGGGCCTGAGACTGGGGGAATTCTTGGAAGACAAGTTGACTGGATTGGCTGATAGGTTGAATATGGAATGCAAGTGAGAGAGAAGAGTCGAGCATGACTCTCGGGCTTTGACCGCAGGAGCCAGCAAGTCATTACCAGTAATGATGGTAATGACTACAATCATAGCAATGATAACGGAAATGGTTATAGCATTTATTGAACCTGGCGTAGTGATGCGTGCCTATAATCCCAGTATTTTGGAAGGCTGAGGTAGGTGTATCAAAAGTTTGAGCCTACCTCAACAATTTAGCAAGACCATGTCTAAAAATTGAAAACAATAATAATAAAAAGAGAGAGCTGAGATGGAGCTGAATGCAAAATTTTGTGCTTAATCCCTAGTTAATCCCTATTTTTAAAAAATATTTATTGTTCATTTATTATGCCAGTCACTTTGCTACATATGGCATACGTTTGTTATCTTGGTTAATCTTCAGTACAACCCTAAGAGTTAGCTATGATTAAAGGCAGGAACATCACAACAAGAAAGTGAGAACTCAGAGGTCTTATGCTACTAAGTGGTTATACTGAGATTTAAATCCAAGTCTAGCTGACTCCACTAAGCCAACTGGTCATCTGGTCTAAAAATGCCCCTCTTTTGGAGACAGGGATGGAGGTATGCTACCTGGATATCCTTTTCAGGTGACTCCCATAGGAGCAGAGAGAAATTTGCAAAGAAAATTCATTCTGTGATTTAGGGTCCTGTTTTCTGGTGTCTGACTTTTTCAAGTCTGCTAATTGGTTTTACCTCTGAAGCTCTGCAATTTGAAATTACAAGTTGTTAAAGAAGAAAGGTATGCAAACCTCCTGAGATGCTGGTACCTACTTACACTTGTGCCCAGTGGGCTGTGGATGGCCGGGGGCTCCTTGACTGAGACCCCACAAGCCTGACCCCTCACAGATGCCCTGTGTATTTTAGAGCAGTTCTACATGAGACAGGGCTCATAGAGCTTTAGTGCAAATGCGGCCTACAAATGTGATGCTAGGATAAGAAAAGTCACCATGACACTGTAAGTGGACCAAGCACCAATTCTGGTGCCAGACCTGATCTCAGATCTGGGCTCTGGCCAGGTGTGGTGGCACACACCTATAATCCCAGCACTTGGGAGGCTGAGGCAGGAGAATCCGTGCAAGTTCAAGACCTTGACAAAGGTCAGGGCCAGCCTGAACTGTACAGTGAGACCCTGTTTCAAAAAAATAAATATATGCTTTAACATCTGATCTTTGCTGCTTACCTGTTGTGTGACTTTAGGTAAATGAGCTGAGCCTCCGAGACTTACTTGCCTCAATGTTAGATCGACATGACAACACTAACTCCAGTGCCTGAAGTTCAGGAGCTTGATAAAATGGCCATTCCCACTATTGCCACCACTGTTGTCATTATTATTGTCACCACCATATCCAGAACCAGCACCATCCTTACCATTGGCATCATCTTCACCATCTCCATTTATCCTCATCCGTACCACCATCTTCTTCATCACAAACTCCATCATTACTTAGTGTATTCTCAGGACAAACTTGTCACTCGTGCCTAAGGGACAGCTAGTAAATGATCCCAGAGGCAGCTCCTCATAAGTCTTAGAACTCCCCTCTGAGGGTGGCTTTTTGTTCCTTTCTTGACTTACTGGCTTAAGAAGGGCCCTGCAAGCGAAGGGAACCGCAGGTGTAAAGGCCCGAGGATTGAGCCAGGGTGATTCGCCCTGGCAACCACAAACAGCTCAGGGTGAAAAGCACACCGTGCAAGAGAAGTGGGAAGAAGATCTGGGATGGATCAGGTAGAGAACTCGTATTCATGTGAAGAAATTTGGAATTTTAGAAAACGATTAAGGATTTTAATCAGGGTACATTTTGCATTTTAGAAAAAGCTGAGTGGATTGTAGGCCCAGCATTGGAAGAGGCTGGGAGACCATGCGCTGCAGTGGCTTGGGTGTGGATTGAGGAGGGTGGAACTCAGGCAAGAGGAGAGGGGTGGGAGAGTGGAAAGAGTGCAGAGGCTTTCTAAGATGGCATCTGCAGGATGTGGTGACAGAAGATTCCAGAAGAGCGGAATCAAATAAAGCCTCGATGTTTCTGACACTAACATTGGAAGGCAGGATGTGAGGAGAAACAGGTGGACAGGACCTCATCCAAGATTCTTCGTTGTTTTGGACACAGGAGGCATTTCAGACTGGAGAGGTCCCACCAATCACTGGCTCTTGGGCATAGAGTCCTTAGAGAGGTAAGAAGTTGGGCATCAGTTAAGGATTTGAGAGCTATTAGAGAGTCCCTGGGGGAGACATCTGCAACATCCCCCGTGTAAAGAGCCCATTTATTCACAGAGAAAAGCTTTTCTAATGCTTTTCCCCAAGTGATTAATTTTTCCAAAGTTCACATTAGAAGGCCCTGCCAGGTTTTGAGAACTCATTTGGAATTAAATTGTGTACTGGCAGGAATCAAAGAGTCAACCATAATGAGTTTAATAGAGTGTCTCTTTCAGATAACAGTCACTGCTGGGTAGAGTTGGCTGCTTTAAAGTACCCACTGGTGGGAAGTATTCAGAGAGTTTAAGAAATTCAGATTGGTTGTTATCAAGTGCAATTAAAGAATGCAAAGCCAGTTGGCTGTTTCTGCAGCCTCCTGTTCGGTGTCAGTCTCAAAGACAGAGACTAGGAGAACCAGGAATCTCCCCTGCTACCACGATTAAAACAAGATCACCGCCTGCATGAACTCGTGTTCTCACAGGCACAGGGCAGGGTCCCTAGGCTTGACCACCTGCTGTACTATTTTTTAAAAGGAACCTGTGTGCGGATGTTTACTGTGTGGTGTGAAGCCCCTTTCAATTGGAGGTTCGCGATTCATGGATTGGGACCACAGCAATAAAAGAGAAGATGGTTTGGCTTTTGACCTAGTTATCCCTTATCTTGCATCCCACGGCGAGCAGAGTAGAGCTGTAGGGTGGGCAACTTTTCTCCGTGGAAGGAACCATGAAATAGTTGGCCCAAGTCCTGATGCGGATGAGGAATGTCTGGGGCCGGAATGAAAGGGCCTTCCAGCAGAACAGAGATATCTGCCCTGTTCACAGGCTGGTGTGACAAAAATGGGCGGGTTAAATCTCTCCTGCAAGGTTTCCGCACTGGGCTTGCAGCCATTAGCGACCAGGAAAAGGAGGAAGTCCGAGGTTTGAAACTGCCTGGGGTGGGGGGTTGATGCAGTGCGCCTGCTCCGTGTAGCACCGAGGCGCGCGGGAGCCGACCGAACGCTCACTGTGGAGCACAGCGCTAAGGCGACAGGAAAGGCGATTTGTATTGCTGTGGGGCAGCCGCACAACCCAGCTGGTGAGGCGACGAGGATTAAGAGAGAAGCTTTGGAGGCCGAGTTTGGGGACGGACATAAATTCAAATGTTACGCGGGTCGCACAGGAATCTCACAAGCTGGGGCTCCTGGTCTCACTTCTCAGCTGGAATTCGTCACCTTGCAGGAAGAGGGTCCTGCGCTGCCACATTTTAGGATTTTTCAAGAGATGCTGTAAATTCAATTTTTTCTTTCCTTTTTTTTTTTTTTGGATTCTTTTGTATTTTAGGGAAGGGTCTACAGGGTGTTCACGGTCTCACTAGATCAAACTCCTAGTGATCTGCCTGTTTACAGCCTCCCAAGAGCTGGGATTACAGGCACCACCACACCCAGTCTCAATTGCCATCTCTGCGCTCCCCGGGGGTGGTCCGGCACCGCAGGACGGGGGATCAAACCTCTGGCCCCTGTGCCTGCTTGCAGGCACTTGAATCCTCTGAGCTATTTGGCAGGCCCCATAGATTCAATTTTAACCCAAATATTCCAGTATTTAAAACACTGGAACACATCGCGCACCTACTGGCCATCTTCAGTTCATCGGCTTCTTGTCACATGATTGATTTCAGGGTTCATGGAAAGAGAAGGAGCCACAAGGAACATGAAAGAGGAGGGAGCCAGACAGATCACAGGGAACCAGAAGAGAATCCTTGAGGCAATGGCGCTAATTCGTGGCACCAAAACAAACAAAGAAATAGGTAGTTGTCTGTTGTGTGTTTACCCTTTTTCTACCTACCCCCTCCCCCCTCCTTTTTTTCCCCCCCCAGCTGGGATGTCAGATGCAATGCAGGAAGTACAGCAGCCATCTTGTGACCATGAGTTACAACATATCAAGGATGATGAAGTAAGGAGATAAAACAAATTTAAGTTCTTGATGCTGAGCAGCTGTGATGCCAGGCATTGACTGTCCATCATTGGCCGATGTGGTGTGCAGGAGAGCCCTTAGAATGAACTGAAGTCCCTATTCAGAGATTCTTCATTACTAGATGCTGCACCCAGTCCTAACAGAGTTGATGTACTGCAGCTGTGTGGTGCCATGGGGTTAAGGAGGGGTGGGACCTCTCTCGTCACTCCCGTTAAAGCAACCATACCACTGCCAACATTCCCACTCTGCAGGTAAAGAAAATGAAACACAGAGAAACCCCCTATTCCTAGTTTCTGGCAGAATTCGGCTTCACCCTCAGGCTCTCTTGATTCTCGGAGCACTTAATAGCAGACCTGATGGTGCTTACGGACCAAGGTATGTGGAGGGTTGGGGCTGAGAGGAGTTCTTTAGGATTTGGCAGTGCTCAACACGGGGTCTTCGATAGATATGGATGTCAACCAACAACCATGAATTTGGGAAACTTCTATTGCCTCCACGGTGCTGGCTGTAGACTGCCCATCTTGGGGTAAGATGGGGTTTCTGTCACTCATAGGCAAGCCAAAAGTTCCCAGAAGCACCTGCTCTGGCCTGGCATCCTGTGCCCAGCATGAACAACCAGAAGGCTGTTCAGCTCCTGCAGTTTGGAGACCCAACTCCAAGGAGCAACCTAAGCCGTGGCTTCTCACCTTGGGGTCCCCGGGTGTGGAGTTCAGACTAGGCCAGGGCACAGATCATGTGTCACAGTTGCTCATGCCCGGGGACATTCCTGGCTTCAACTATAAAGTTGTTGAAGGCAGAAACAAAGACCCCTTCTCTTGGGGCCCTACAAAGCCTGTCGCAGCCTGACACTATGTGGGGCCTTATAGCGATAGGACAGAGAAGAACACTATGATCCCCTGTAATCCCAGCAGTCTGGAGGCTGAGACAGGAAGCTCCAAAATTTGAATCCAAGCTAGGCAACATAGCAATTTAGCAAGGTGGTATCCCAAAATGAAATATTCAGAAAAAGATTGGTGACACAGCTCAGCATGAAGGTTCAATCTCAGTACTACAAAAAGTAAAATGAAATGCAGAGATAGCAGCCCATTGGCTCAGTGCACCCAGCTGTCTGCTGATGCATAGAGTAGAAGTTCAAGATGCAAAGGTGGCTATGCACAGCCTAGACAGCAGAGGTGAAGGACAAATGTGCCCTCTCCCCAGGAGCGTGGGCCTAATGGCTATCCTGGATTGCCCTCAAGGTGTGGCCCAGGAACCACACACGCTGAGTGCTCTCAACAATCCAGGTGGATCATGATGCTTCTTGCCCATTCTATGGAGGAGAAAACTGAGGCCTGGAACAGTAAAGACAAGTGAGGGTAAAGCTTGGCTTTACTATATATGACATCATAGGAGCTACATGAGATATGTGACCAAAATATACAAATTCATTAACATAAAGACACACTGTCATCAGTACCCCTCAGAACACTCTCCCACATGTGGAACACACTTATGCCACCATCTTGCCACTTTCTGAGGCAGCTCTGGAAGTCCCCTTTAGTGAGTATCTCTGGTTGAGGTGTCATGGCTGCCTCCTTGTGGTGGACCAATTCAAAATGTTTGTCTTTTGTGGTGATTTTGATGTTGGGAGGAGCCAGAAGTCTCAGGGTGCCAGATGTGATGAATAAGGAGGGTGAAGACACAGTGATGTTTTTAGAAACCTGATTTTTCATTGAATGGTATTTAGCAACATTCGCTGCATCTTTTTATCACACCCTATAAAGACCTACGAAAGAGGACTTCCAGAACTGCTTCAGAAAGTGGCAAGAATGATGGGATAAGTGTGTTTGACTTGAGGGGGAATGGTTGAGAGGATTAATGCCAATGTATCTTTTATTGAAATAATTTTTTTTAAAATTTTTCGCCACATTTTTGATGTCCCCTTGTCCAAACAAAGATAGAAGTGGTCCCTGAGGTACCCAGATATTTGCTCTCTTTCCTTGGACCTCAGTGTTCTCATCTGGAAATTGAGAATAGTGCAAATATACTTTTTAAATTGATCCTGTTCTTGTGTGTTGAGCAGTGTGTAAATGACCACAGAAGCAAGGAAGCCAGCCCCACCCCTTATCACCAGCACCCAGAGGGAGCACTCACGGAAAAGCACCATGAGAAAGCGGGTCTCGTTGAGCATCTGGGCTAGGCCAGGCGGTGTCAGCACCAGCAGGTCTTGCTCCTCCACGATGTGCAAGGGCCAGGAGAGGTTGTTGCTGGGGACAGTGGAGCCCTGCTCCAGGGAGCTGTGCACAGCCGCGACCCAAGAAGCCACCATCAGCAGGGCTGTCCAGAGCAGCTCCATCGCTGTCCTGCAGAGGAGAGGAACAGAGCCTTTATTAACACAGGTGGCCTCTTCCCCGCCCCATTGTTGCCCTCCACACCCCCACCTTTCACCTGGGGGACGGTGAGCTGGGCACTGCCCCGAGCAGCAGCCAAAGTTTGGCAGCAGCCTGGCCCAAAGACAGGACACTAGGACAAGCTTGGCCCCAGCAGTGGGGGGCTGTATCAGGAAGCTCAGCACAGCTGAGCCCCACCTGAAACAGCAGGACACTCAGGCCCACTGACTTCCCTGCTGCTGGTGAACACTGGCCAAGCAGAGTCTCATCCTAGGGTGGGTGTTACAAGTTGACCACCAGGTGTTTGGGCCAGTTCCCCAGCACGGGCTCCCAGGATCCCCTCTGCCAGCAGTGCCCATGCCCCCTTGTATTGTGCTCCTCCAGTTTCAACCTGAATGCCTTTGTGATGGGAAGCTTGCTACCTAACAACATATCCCATTTGATTCTTGAAATATTTTCAAGAATATTTTCTTTTAAAAGTCATAAACACAAAACACACTTGTAAAAATATGTTGCATATAAAAAAAAAATCTCTCCTCTAACTGTATTACCAAGAAAGCTCGTTAGGTTTAGAATAAATCCTTGCAGACATTGAAAATGTCCCTGTGGACCTGCTTTGAGTGCACGTTTTGAGACTGTGCGCATTGTGTGGTGCTTAATTCTCTCTTCTTCACCTTTGAACCTTACTAAAAATCCCCTGATACTTGTCCTTACCCCAGACCAAATTGATTCAGAATTGCTCAGAAAATCCAAATTGTTTTCATCAACTTTCAGAATTGCTGAAGATCAAATATTTGAGGTCTGCCAGGTAATTTTTGTTGTTTTGCTGCTTCTCTGTTGTTGGTGTTCTTATTGTTGTTATGGTTGTTGTTTGTAGGACCAGGGATTGAACCCGGGCTGTTTATACTAGGCTGCATTCCCAACCTTTCTTCAGTATTTATTTTGATACAGGGTCTTACTGAGACACTGGTAAATTGACACCTGGTGGTCAACTTGTAACACCCAGCTGAACTAAACCAGTATGACACTGGGTGTGGGAGATCCCCCCTAAGAATTGTTACCAACAAAATTAAAAGCAGAACTGGAGAAAAAGAGAAGCTGTTAAGAAGCTGTAGGGAGCTGTTGTTTTTCCTGGAGGAGCTTGTCATGCTGGCTTTCCTGACAAATTTGCTGCCCTCTTCAGAAGAGCTTGGGACCTTGCTGCTGCGAATGGCTACAGTTCACACTGGGGAAGCTCTGGTCCTGATGGTGCACTGCTCCGTCTCCAGGAGGAGCTTGTCTTGCTGGCTTTCCTGACATAGCCTGAGCGGTTCTTATCATCGATGGAGCTTGGGACCTCATCACTCAGGATGGCTTTGGTATCTGTCAGGGGAGCTCTGGTTCTCACTTGAGCATCCTTTCCTAGCCCTGGAGGTGAGGATGGTGCACTGCTCAGTCTCCTGAATGAGCTTGTCACATTGGCTTTCCTGATGGGAGACTCAGCCACTCTCATCATCAGAGGAGCCCTGTCACTGAGGATGGCTGTGGTAATTTGGGCGTGAGCTCTGTTTCTTTGAGCTTTGCTTCCTGGCTCCAGAGCCAAACCCTCGGCCTGCTGAAACAGATCCTTCATCTGCTGGCACAGACTTTCTAGCTTCCACCACTGACCTTTGGGCCTTCCCAGTACAGATCATGAAGCGGGCTTGCATGAGACATTGTTGTGGGCTCCGGGCCTCCAGTTGGACTTACGGGGGCATTGTCATGAGCTCTAGGTCTTCAGCTGGACTCATGCAGGACTTTACCATGGGACCTAGGCCTGCAGCTGGATTCCTTGGTCTGTAGTGTGTGGGCGGATTTCCTGCACTCTTTTTGCATATGATTCTTTGGGTGATTATTATAAAATAATTCTATAAATTATGTGTCCTGTATTAAATTGTCCCTCCTTATAACACCCAAACCACAACATCATCTAAAAGCTTTTTGCCTATAGGAAGGCATCAAAGTACTAGGGTGTTAATTTGCATTATACAGAAACTCACTAGAATGACCCTTTGTTATCTAAGCAAAAACAAGGCAGTGAGGGCTGCCAGAACCTTCCTGGGCCCAACAGTGGCCATCCCTTCTGTGTCTCTGTGGTACCCATCTCTGTGCCACTTGCAGGAAGAAAGTGGAGCCTGGGCCAGTAGCTGCAGACCCTGTAAGAGAAACGCTGCTGTCGGGCTCAGGCAGGAAGGGTGATAATCAGATGCTGCTGGCTGAGAGGCAGGCCTTCCAGGGCAAATTCTGCCACTCCAGCCTCCCTTTAACTCATTCACCAGGTATTTGTCCATTCCCAAATATTCCTGAGGCTCAGTACATGTTACACACATTGCATGTGGTTAGGTGCTGCAGACACAGAAGTCCAAAAACTGGCATGCATTCTGGTCATGGGAAACATGGTGGATGAGACAAGCAGATACAGAGAAGCTCAGAAGCTCATCCATACTGAGGGGGAAAGGAGGTAAGGGAAGACTTGGATGTGATGGGAGGGAGGCACCTCAGTGTTAGCATAACTAACAAGGCAACCACAGATAGCTTCACTCAGAAGATGGTGTTTGACTGAAGGAAGCGGAGGAGTGGATTGTTTGCATTTCCAAGGGTGCTCAAGGGGGTGGTTCTGTCCTCCTCTCTTTTTTAAAAAACATAACATCTACACTTTATTTAACTTGAAATAAACTATACAAAATTTTCTTCCCAAAAAATAACAGCAACATTTTCTGTATTATTTCTAGATAAACCACAAACCATTCATTTGGTAGGTTTTCCAGGCTTTGTTTATAAATCAAGATGAAGCAGTAGACAAAGTTGGGGGGAAAAGAAAGACCTGGCAGCTGCCTGTGTGATGGCCTCCAGTTCCATCTGGACCAAGGAGCAGAAGCGTTCGACATTTCCTGCTAAGAAGCTTGTGAAGATGTGGGCTCAACCAAGGAATGTAAACAGCAATAACCAGGCATAGAACACAGTGGCAGGCTTTCCCACTCAAACTTGAATTGTAACCTCTTTTTTAAAGTTCATTTAATTAAGCCAAAATCTACACTGAAAGCTGGTAAGCTTCTCTCTTGTAATTCCTTTAACTGTCCCTTAGATATTTTAGTAACATTCGGGGATTTTTATTTGTTTTTGTGATACCAGGGATCGAACTCAGGACCTTGTGCTTGCTGGGCAAGCACTTACTCCAATGAGCTATCTGCCCAGCCTACTAACACTCTTTTTTTAAAAGTAATTTTATTGAGAAACAAATAGCAATGAGACAGTTTCACAACTGATTACTAACACATTTTCAATAATTAATACATTGCATATTGTTGTCTTAGTGGTTATTCACTGTACAAGATACAGACATGATATCCTGTCTCAAACACTATTATAACAATCCTCTCTATTAAGTTAAGAAAATGGAGCTGTATATCTATCCTAACTATTTTGAGTATACAGATACAAAAGGGTCTTTCATTTCTCCTACTAACACTCTTAAAACACCTACTAATTACAGGGAATTGATAGGCTTCATGATAACATTTCATAAGATGCATTCCTTTGTCCCTCATCAACTCAAAATCCATTTTTTCAAAAACTGACAACTCCATTCCACAGTATCTATACCTTTCAGATTTTATCTACTCTTTCAGGTTCTTATACAACAAGACAATACAGGAAAGAAGGAAGAGGAAGAAGATGTGTGTGTCTATATGCATAGAACAGCTTGGATAACTGCACTGCTGATTTCACAGGTCTATTGAAAGGAGCAGTTAATGCTTAAGTCTTTTTCTCTCCTTTTTAATTTTTTATAACTTTTTTGACCAGTTTTGCATGTTTATATCTGGTAATCTGAACAACTAATTTTTTGAAGACAACATTATGCAGTATAACAACCATT